TATATATATAAGGTGGAGAGGGTAACTGTTAGAGGAACATATCAGGTGGAGAGTTCACATGCTTGTGCCTTGTCCTTTAGGGAACAACTTTTGTGTTTTTTTTGGGTGTGTTGTAGAAACATGCCATGGCCCTTCGAAGCCAATAGGACCAAAAACAAAAACCGAGAAACTTGTAGACAACAACTTGTGAAAATGATCGTGCATTAAGATATGTCGTGAATTATAATCAAACCAATCTAAATTATCCGAAATTTGATTCCTAATGTTATGTTCGGACATATCTAAACTTAGCATTATATGAAAATTTTCTTTTAACTCGATTATTCACGAAAAACTAATCATTTACTTACTCCCCATATTTAACTTGGAATATAACAACATTGACATAGAAAGAATGATTAAATTTAACGTGGTTTCGACCATAAATAAGATCCACAATCACAGAAGATTTCGTATATACTAAAGTTTTGTGCATAAAATTTCTTGAACTGCTAACCAATCAATGTGGGAACGAAGATTTTGATGATTGTTGGGATCAAAAGCATCTGCATTATATATATATATATATAACTACATATTCAGATGAAATGAATTCACCCTAAAAAACGAAAAGATCTATAAATGGACAAAATCTAAGAAAAATCCTTAAAGAAGAGACAAGAGAGCGCCTAATGGTTAATGTTTAGTTGTGCCTCATGATGAACAAAAAGAATGTCTTTTTCTGCAATTTCTCAATATAAAGTGGATCGAACGCTCGAAATCGATTAATGAATATATGGCAATCTAAATCATTGATTCGGATAGAGATTATTTTTCTTATATTCTGCTTGTCATTTATCCTAATTGCTTGGACCGTCGTGAATGATTTCAAGTCGAAAAGGCAAATCATTTTCTTGTGGGCTTGAGGCTCTCTCTTAGATATATATATATATAGACACACAAGGATTCATCAACCACAGGGTTCGTTTGACTGAAAAAGAATTATGAAAGCTAAATTTTTGGAAGATTCTTATGAACCCCCATTTGTGGATATCAGTGTTCTGCAATATCATATTAGCGGATTACAACTATATATATATATATATATGTATGTATGTGTATGTATGTGTATGAGTGTATGTATATAATGGCTGCTCAGAAGAAATAATTCACCAGACCCACCAAATTATACGCATGTGGTGATTCTTTGCATGCAGTCTACATCTCTTTGAATGTGTTGAAGAAAAAAACGATAAATTACAATCAAATAAAAAAAATATAATAATATGTAAAGTCTCCTTTTATGTATTTGTATATATTCCACAATTAAAAATAACCAAAAAAATCACTATATATGTTTGAAACTCTAAACTTTAAATTAATCTCGTTCAATCTCCGTAAATATATTTATCTCTATGCTAAAAAAAATATGCACCACGTAGAATACGAAAACATTTACAAGATAAGAAAGGATAATTAAACAAAGTTGGTCTAACCAAATTCTCAATTTGAGTATTAATAATCTTGGGTTATGAAAACTCTCATCCGCATACATTACATCGGATTAGGAAATTAGTTAGGGCAAATATCCGAATATTGTATCACATGTCGACTTATACTTTTCTTATATTCTTCATCTATTTGATATATAAATTGTTGGGCCTTACCGCCCATGTTGGTGAACAAAGTGAAACCCTCCTCGTGAAGGAGAGGTTTCATGATGCGCAGCGTTTGGTGAGCAAGGGTTAATGAAACTCTAAGGCTCCGTCTTCATTCGATCTTCATCGGGAAAAATAGAGATACAGAGGAGAGAGAGAGGCGATTACGGCGAGCGCATGGCGGAGGACTTTCGGTGGTTCGCTGAGGCTGCTCGAGGTGTAGATCGGTAAGATCGTGGTAAGATCTTGGTTGTTTCTTTCTCCTGAATCTCGGTTCTTCTCGGTGAGTCTCCGGTTTGTGGAGATCCACCGAGGTTTTCTGTTTTTCCGCTGCTGTACTGTTCTCTAGTGGATTCGCCGGTGCCGTTCCAGCCGAGACGTAGGCTCGAGGAAACTCGGTAACCGAACTCGTTAAAACTCCGGTGTCGTTTTGTTTTTCGCACGTACGAGCGTCAGAGAGAACCGTGAGGAATCCGATATCCACTTCACAAAGTGGTATCAGAGCTCCGGTTACACGATCCAGGGAGATTCGCCAGCAAGAAGCGAGGTAAGGTATTCTGGTTCGAATCTGTTTATGTTTGAGCGTTTTGATGGTCTGTTAAGTGTTTCAGCCGTCGATGGAGGTTGATTGACGACGGTGGGAGGTAGTGGTTAAAGCCTCGGAGTCACCGGTGGTCAGATCTGTCGAGGTGGAGGATCAGAGACCATGACTCGGTGAAGACAGATTCGAACCGAGTTGAGTAAGGTAGGTTTTCTAACCTGACTCGTTATTATTTCCGCGTTTTTCCTCCGGTTTTGAGTTCGAGTTTCAAAGAAACTCGGAGAACTCGGCGGAGAAAGGCTCGATTCCGGCGAAACTCAGCCCCTGACTCGTCCGAGTTAGGGTTGAGTGGCGGAATCGGGTGAGTCAACGTCCGAGTCAACTCGGCAGACTCAGCGGCTAGGGTTTCCAAAATTAGGGTTTCGGATTAAACCCGGTTTACACCGGTTTAATCGATCCAATTTCGGTTAAACCCGGTTTGGGTCAATCGAACCTGGTTCGATTCGATCCAAGTCCGGTTATCGGCGGTCAGATCGGGTTTGACCCGGTTCCGTCGGTTCAGACCGGATTCCGGCCGGTTCAGTCCGGCTCAGACCCGGTCCCGACCAGTTCAGACCGGTTCACTCCGGTTCGGTCAATTCGTTGACCAATTTGGTCAACAGTTGACCGGTTTAGATCAAATCAGACCGGTTCAGGTCCGGTTTGGGGTCAATTGGACCGGTTTAGACCGGATTCAGGTCAATCTAGGTCCGGATTAGAACAATTGAGTCCGGTTTAGGTCAATTCAGGTCCGGTTTAGGTCAATTGAGTCCGGTTTAGGGAAATTCAGACTAGTTTAGGCTGGTTTAAGTCTTGGTTAGGGTCTGATTTGTCTAGGAAGGGCTAGAATTGTTCGGTTCAGACCAATAGGGTCTGATTGGAGGTGAATTAAGGCCGGTTTAGACCGGTTTAAGTCTAAGATTAGGGTTTGTTCGTCCAATTAGGCTAGAATTAGACCGTCTAGCTCAATTGGGTCCGATATTAGGTAAGATCAGATTGGTTTTAGGCTAATAGATATCTGTTTAGGATCTGATTTATCTGGTTAGGGCTGGTATTGGTCGGGTTAGGATCTGAATTCGTGGTTTAGGACTAGATTAGATCGGTTTAGGGTATGGAGTGTACAATTAGGACTAGAACTAACTGGTTTAGGGTTAGGTTGGTCCATATAGGTCTGATGGTGTCTGGTTTAGGGCATAGTGGACTGGTTTAGAGTATGTTAGGGTCTGTAGTGATCGGTTTACCCTGCTAGGTTGGTCTAGTACTCAATTTGGCTTCGTTTAGTGAAAATTCACTAGGGTTAGACCTGTTTAGATCTCGGTTTAGCTAATGTAGGTCATAGATTCCGGTTTCTGTTCAGTATAGGTCTGAATAGGTTGGATTTGACTACATTTAGCCGGGTAGGAGGTCGGGTTAGGCTTAAATAGGCTGGTACAGGTCTGTAGTAGACTGGTTTAGGTCTGATATAGGCCTGTAAGTGCTGTTTAGGTCTTGGTTAGGTCTGGTTAAGCCAAATTTGAGTTAGTCTAGCTCAGTCTAATTCAGATCAGTAGGTAATTAGGTCAAAATAGACTTGGTTAGGTCTGATTAGAGGTTTAGAATGTCTATAGAGACATTGTCTAGGTCTGATCAGATTAGAATCTGATTATAGATTTAGGTATTATCTAGTTTAGGACTAGATAGGACTCCTAAGTACCAGGTTTGAGTCATAGAGTCCGGTACATTGACTGGTTAGGTCTGATTATCTGGGATTTGACTAAAACGGGTTAGTTTAGGGGTTGGTTAAGTCTAGAATCACTAGATATAAGTCTGTAGGGGTCAGTTTAGATCAGGGCAGGTCTATAGGGGTTTGTTCTAGGCATTGTTAAGGTCTGATCAGAAGTAAATTAGGTCTCATTAGGCTTAGTTTAGGTCTGATTAGGGTACTAAAAGTCTAATCAGGGGTTGGTAAGTCAATAGGGTTGGCTTAGGTTTGATGATTAAGACTTTTAGGTGTCTAACTAGGACTTATGGTCATCTAATCAGGGGTTGGTCAATTAGGATTGGCTTAGGTCTGATTAGGGTGTTGTGGTGGTCTAGTCGGAACTTTTGGTTGTCTAACTAGGGCTGTTAGGGGCCGGGTAGACTCGGGATCGTAGGACTGGTTAGGAATGTGTTGGGGGTCATGTAGACTCGGTGTTGTAGGTCTGATTAGACGTAATCAGGTCTGTGTAGCCTTAAGTTAGGTCTAGTTAGACGTAATCAGGTCTTAAGGTAGGCTGTGTTTCGAGTCTAATAGGTCGGTTAGGCAAAATTATGCCTAGGGTAAGTCCAATCAAGTTTGTGCGAGAGTCTAGGAGGTCGGTTAGGTAGAAATATACCTTGTGTTAAGTCCAATCAGGTCTGGTCTAGAGTGTGTTAGATCCGTTTAGGTAAGATGTACCTAGAGAGATGTCCGGTTAGACTTGGTTTAAGGTCCGTTAGATCGGTTTAGGTTAAGCACCTAGGTTAAGTCCCGTTAGGTTGTGTTCTCTAAGTCTAGTAGGTCTGATTAGGTAGAGACGTACCTAGGTTTAGGACCGATAGACTAGGGTTAGAGCGTGTTTAAGCACGGCTAGGTAGAAATATACCTAGGATTAAGTCCTCTAGGGTTCGGTCTCATCCCTCGTGTCATGTTACATCACTTCTAGGGTCGGGTAAGTCA